GGCGTGGCCAGGAGGCTGGGAGGGGCAGGCCCGCCTGCCTCAAACCCCTTTCGTGACCTTGGCTCAGGCCCTGACCCTCTCAGTGTCCCTGATTGTCAGATGAAGCTGCTGAGCTGACTGATTCTTGGGAATCCTAGAATCTGAAAAGCAGCTGCTTTTAGGGCTTCTGTTTGAGGCTGCCCTTTCGACACCCGTTCCTTGACCTCCTCATTTCCCTATCAGCCTAGCGCTCCCGGGCCACGTCCGAAATCTTGCTGTAGCTACATCTGCGCCTGCTTTGACCCTCCTGACCATGACTTCTTCCGCAGCTCCAGCCACTGCTACCACGCTTGTCATTCAACATCTTCCTGAGGCCTGTCCATTGCCTTTCTGCTTTCTCCACATGAACCTGCGTCTTCCCTACCCTGTTGAGTTCAAGCTCCATTACCTCAGCTATTCCCCTGCAAGAAGCCGTGCCCTTGTCCTGCTGTCTTTCCATCACTCCCACCTGAGGAAACCCCAACCAGTGCACCTACGCCAAGGTCCAGAAGAAACCTTGACCAGCCACAGGCATTGATGTCATGGAAACATGGGGTCTCCAACCTCCTTTGGATGCTCAATCCTACACAGATCGTACACAGAAATCCTCCCACTTTCCCCAGCCCAGTTTTGACTCCTTTCTTCTCAGTGGCTATTTCAGACCTTGTCCTCTCTCCCCAAATCTCTCACCTCTCCTCGTTCCTCCTCCTGCTCAGAAGATATCCTTACTTCCCTCCTCAGAGGGAAGATAGAAGCCATCATATGGAAACTTTCTCAGCTTTCTGCCCTCAGACCTACAAACTTGCCTACTTTCGTTTCCTTGCTTTCCTTCCTCCCTCCTGTTCCGATGGGAGGGAACCTATCCTCTGATTCTGTCCGAGATTCACTGCTGCTCCAGGGCTGCCCTGAAGCCTGTCCCCGGCCACAGGGTCACACCTGTACGCACCCTCACCATATACTCCAGGCCTTTGCTCCTGTTGTCCCCTCTGCCCACAAGATTCTTCCCCATGCTCCCCAACTTCTCATCCTCTTTCTTTGCCTAATGGCCACTTACCCTTCAGATCCCAACTTAATAGATGAAGGTTTTCTTCCAAGATGGAATTAAGATAGCTTCAGAAGGAGCCCTAACTGGACACTTGTCTGCCAGGCTCTGTTCTAGACTCTTGGAATTTGCAGAGGAATACCTAGTGACTATATTATTAGAAGATAATGTTAGGAGACATTCAAGAACCATATCATCAGATGAAAAAATTTAGATTCACTACCTAGCATAATGGCAAAATGTTTGCTACCTTGTCTATCCCAGATGCATGGATATAGGACTGTAATAGAGCGCAGCTCTAACCCTCCTGCAAGATGTTCACAACTGGCTGAGAAGACAAGTCGCACAGTCATAAGGAGTTACAAATCAGATTCTTTTCAGTACAATCTGAGCCAAGGGTGGAAGAGCAGCACAGGCTGGACATGACTATGTGCCACGTGATTGGCACGGACAGGAAGTTCTCTGGGGGCCTGGGAAAGAGGGGATCGTTTCAGCGGTGGTGTTTCTTCCCATCTCAGAAAAGAAGCACCTGATCTGTGGGAGCTGCTGGCAGCTCCCCTGCTAGGGTTACCCCCTCACCCACCCTGCACATCTAGGGAGGCATCTAAGGACCCAAGGAGGTGCAGGAGCTAGAGGTTTTAGGAGCTGAAGGTTTTAAAGCTCTGTGCTGGTGGCTTATTTCTTGTAAATGATTCTGTCAGAAATATCTAAGCAAGGCTCTTCAGCCCTTCAACGCCCACCCAAAAAAGATTAAAGCGGATTCTTCATCAGCTATTTTAATATCACCTAAGAATTATGCAATCTTTTGGAAAATCAGATTGGCTTCTTACACCATTTGTGTGCGTGAGTGTTTGTGTGTGTGGATGTGTCCCCGTGTGTGCACACAATGAAACGGTGCTTATGCCTAGGGTCTGTTTAATCTTCAGCAGTGTGTGCCTTTTGCTACCAGGGGCCATGGAATGCACAGCCCTAGGGGGAGGCTGGAGGGAAGGGAAGGAAAGGAAGCTGGCCAGCCAACTGCTGTGCTGCCTGCTCTTTAAAGAGAGGGCTGACTCCGCTACCTTTGTCTCTCTGCCTTTTTTGAAGAGGATGTCTTTAAAGGATGAACCCTTTAATGCCAGGTCTTCAGCACACATACAAAGTGGATTCTCAGTAAACGTGGCCAAAGGTCACTGCCCTGCCAGCTTAAATGTGGATTCACCTCCTTCCCAGCCATGGGTCTCTCTACTCCACAGCTCTCATCCTGGGCTCCAGCCAGCTTGTCCCCCAAATGGGCCCTCAGCTTTTTCACCTCCAGGGTCTTTGCGTGTGCCTGCCTGACCCTGCTGCCTTCCTTGAAGTTAATCCAAATTTACTGATCCTTCAAGGCCCATCTTAAAAGTCACCATTTTCTTGAAGGCCTTTCCTGACCACACACCCCCGCCCCCACCCCCGACACACACACCCCTCCTGTGCTTTCTCTGATCCCTTTTGGTCCAGTGGAAGATGCCCAAGTTGGCACCATGGACCCCCACTAGGTCAACTCCTCTAATCTTCAGGACTCTCCCCCCGCCAATGTAGTTGTAGAAAACAATTGAATCTCAGGGCCCCCCAAGTTAATGATTGGCAGAGAACCCCAGTCCAGCTGATTCCAAAGCCCACCCTGTACCCCAGAGGCCCATCCCCCACCCCAGCATTCCCACCTGGCACTTTACCTGTACCTGCCTATTGCGCTGGTCATGGGGTTGCAGGCGTGACCTCTGGGGTCGAGGCTTGAGTTTGAATCCCAGCTCCATCCCTTGCTAGCTGGAGACCTTGGGTAACTGCTTTAACTTCTCTGGACCTCAGTTTTCACATCTGTAGAACGGAGATGACGAGAATAGGATTGTCGGGAGGGTGAAATGAGATAACACGTGTAAAGGTCCTAGCATAGTGCCTGGCGCGTGGTGAGTGCTTGGTGAGGGTTAAGTTCATCATCCTGTTGTTCTCATCTCACGGTGCACATCTCCTTCAGTAGATTATGAGCTCCTCGTGGGCAGGAACTTTCCTGTGTCTGAGTTTCCTGCTTTGCCCACCACGTGCCTGCCTTGTGGTAGGTACATATGAGAATTCAATTCATGATGATGGTGATTGCACAGCTGGCTTTTCTATGAGAGATCCAGCAAGTTGCCAGTTGGTATCCCCCCAAGGGTATGTGGCTTGAAGTCTAAATGAGCCCTCCCCCTGGTCTGGGCTGAAGGCAGGAGCTTCAGTTTCTTAGCAGTTTGTCCCCAAAGAGCAATCGGCCTTTATTTTTTTTTTTGGAGTCTGTACCCAGTGTCCTACTCTGTCTGTCCTCAGTCCCATTAGACATGTCGATTGAGATCATGGATAACCTTCAAGCAGAAGGTGAACTGGGTGGATCTTCTGGTAAAGAGGCCAAGAGGCTGCCACAGTTAGTCATGCCTCCCGATGAATCAGCTTCCTGAGGGCACTGCAAGAGAGGTTTCTAGAAAATGAAATTCGCCCCTTGACATACTGCAGTTGTTTTTTTCTTAAATATTATTTCCGCCATATTATTGGAAAACTTCCAAAAATGTATTGCCTACTCTTCCCAGTGTTCTTCAGCAAAACATACCAGACATGGTAACTCACCTTGGCTACCGCTGACCAAGTGCTTTTGCCATCGGGAGCTTGTTGAATCTCGCCGGCAATCCGACGGGGGCCAGGACCATTGTCTCCATCTCACAGATGAAGACCCTGAGGCTCAGGGAGCTGCAGTGGCTGCGACAGGAAGTGGCATCTCTGCACACTACAACCTTTTCTCGGGGCTTGGAAGGCAATAACTACGCTCCAGGTGCAATACTGTTGACGTGGCTAGAGCCATCTGCCCTGCACTCCTGGCCCAAGGTTTTACGGGCTTGGTCAGTTATCCTTTTAATCATTCCTCCGTCTCCCTTGCCTTCCTGCTAAGAGCAGCCACTCTTTTTTCTAATTTCTGTTCAACTTCTGGGTCTGAGAAAAAGAGGCTGAGGCTCTTGCTAGAATTTTGTCTAAAATAAGAGCATTGTGCCATGTGCTTGGCTGCTCAGGGGCGTCTTTGGTTTTGTTTTCTCAGCTGTGTGTTGGATAGTTACAGGGTTTGGCCCAGTGACCCACAGGTAAGCAAGAGAACTGTGAAGGGGTTAGGGGTGCTGTCTTTGGAGTCAGACACACCTGGACTAAGCCCTGGCTCTGTCAATTTGCAGGGCAACCTACCTACCCTCTGCCAGTCTCTATCCCCTCACCTGTGAACCGGGCTTGATCATCTGTGCCTCTTTGGGAGGATTGAAAGAGGATTCGAGGAGATAATCCACGTACCAGGCTTAGCCCCATTCTGCTCCTCAATGGATTGTAGTTTCATTTTTATTTCTGTGACTTGAAGCATGAGAGGCCTCGGATCATTCATTCATTCATTCACCCCTCAAATATTTATTACTGCCCACCTCTCAGTGCCTAGTTTCCTTTACCTTCAAAACGAGGATAATAACAGGAGTTATCTAGCTGAGGACTAGATATGAGGACTTAAAGAGTAAATATATGTGAAGTGCTCAGAATTGTGCCAGGTGTAAAATAA